GCATATATATTTGGTACTCTCTTATACCAAGATTTATGTGTTCAAATAAATAAATAAATAAATAAATAATATTCCTTGCTCTGAACCTGATTAACAGCCATTACTGATCGTTTCAACCTCTAAATGGTTATGTTTCGTGTCAGTGGCGTAGCGTACAGAAAGATGACGTGAAATCTACTTGTCTTTTTTTAAGTATTCGTATATGTCACTAATGCTAGGAAGGGTGCAGTTGGGTATATCATCTGATTACGTTTTTGAAGCAAGTTATTATTGAAGTTTGCAATTCGTTTATTCACCATGTGATTTGACTAAGCTATCTTGAACGAACTACAGGTACGAATCTGTATAAGACAATTAATTGTGAATTAAATGCTGACACTTCCAAATGACTAGCTCTAAATCGCTTATACTATATTATCATATGTCTCGTTGCTACACCCTATTAAAATACAATGCAAGTGGTTAATCATGGTGAATAAATGTCATACTGTAGTTCCAAACAAAACCAATAACGCGAGTGAAGAAAATCAAATTGAATAAGAGATGTTTCAGTTATGCAAACCTGGTTAAAGCATTTGAAGGACATAAAAATGATAGCTATCCCGAAATATATGTCATCTTAACTGCGACAATTAAGATAAAATTTAGATCCATAATTTGCTTTATCGTAAGTCAATGTCAGGTTAGTGACTGAACAGCTTAGAGTGAAGAACAGTTCATTTAGTGTAAAATGTTTAGGATGAAAGAAAATTATATTCGACAAATTTTTATAACCATTTATTTACCTGATATGTATAGTCACAAAACACAAAGTGCATGTCATCATTGGAGGCAGTAAGTTGTACTTCCTAAAGATATGAATATGTTGTTTGTTAAACAAATGAAAAATCCGTAATTCAGCTGTACCTTACAAATTAATTGATCTGTCATATATTCATTTTCTGCAACAAACGATTTCAATTGCTCATAATAAAGACGATCCTATAAATGAAAATAAACCTGTGATAAATAATTATAATATAATAACAATAATATTCATTGGTTGAAATAGTGGATTATAATACTTGGACTATCAGGTGTTCACGATCGTTCATGTAGTTAATGTTTTAATTACTATAACCCATAGTGTCATTGAATAAGAAAAAGAGAATTCAGCGAAGAAAATGTACAGCTTAAGTAAATGATTTCGTCGAAAAGAAAATTTTCTTCGCTGAATTCTCTTTTTCTTGTTTTAATTACTATTAAAAATGGAATTAGCTGGAGAATCTTAGGGGATAATTTCAACTTTTCTTGAACTTAAGTTGAATAGAATGGCAATAATTGGTGTGAAGAGCTTTAAATTGCAAGGTCAATAGATTTACGGATTTTGTTTATATTTTGCAAAGACCAGTGAAAATCCGACTTTTGGGAGTAGTTAACTGACTTAGTTATTCACTACAATGGGAAACTATACACGATTGTTGTAGTCTAGTTAAGAATTTCATATTCTCGATACCATATAGAACCAAACTTTGAGCTATTCTATTACTGAGCAATAAAGCACAGGGATATATTGTTCATTATTCATTGACATCACTAAAGCATTAGTCTGCATCATCAACTTGATAAAAGACCAATGTCAAAACCCAGTATTCACCAATTAAACACCTTAAATGGCAAATATTTCTACACAGTTTGGTGTCCTAACCTATCCGGTGAAACTACTAAACTTTGTTTTACCATATTTCATATACAAGTCACCCTATTTTTGAGAGATAAAATAAACTTTTGGGGATCGAAGTATGCCACATTTAAATCGGATTTCAGCGTTTTGATCTTCGAACTCCCACACTGTTTTACGAGAAAGCAAATGAATTGATCAACTGAGACGGTACCATAAACACTTCACAGATTGTAACAGACAATCATTATATGTGTTCTTCTGCACTCGAAAACTGTAAGTCATAGGTAAATCCAACTGTGTTTTAAGCTTTCCACATCTCTTTAAAATAATTATGAACTACATATTTGGGATGATTACTGCCCATAATCTTGTTACTTTGTACGCGTTATGCGCACAATTATTAAAGATACACAAGTGACCTGATTACGAGTTGAATAGCTTAGCTAAGCGACTTAACTGAGTTCTCTGTATCCTTTAATTCGACAAGACGAGCGCATGTTAGTGACAGAATATCTTATTGATGAAAAAACTTAAATTAAAACTTGCTGTAAAATTCCAATAAATTTACATTTATCACTGTTGGTGATTTGAAGAGATTTTTAGATTTTTTAGTCCTAGTGTGGGATGAAATATCTGTCTGTTCTCAATGGTTCTCTTATTAAGTTTTGATGTAAATTTTGAAACATACTATTTCAATGTACGCGTTAGTATCTTTTAACTACAATATGGATCTATTTAATATAACGTCAGGTAATATGCATAACTTTGAATGGGTTAGTTTAGATCTTGAAATGCTTTTATTTTAATCGTAGCTTGAATTACGCAAGCTATTAAACTACTTATTTGGTGAGCTTTGTTTTGGGTGAAATTTCGTGAAACATTCATCGACGAATAGTCAGCAATATGTTGAACTAACTACATACAAAAATAGAGATAAATAAGATCAACTGGTGTCTCGAAAATAAATCCAATCTGAAAATGATTTTCAAGGAAGGAGGATAAATAATAAATTTGCCGTGGTTCGATAATAATATTTTGCGATCATGAATCAGCACTTACGTGTTCCGTCACTTTTGCATTTAAACACAAGGCCCACAATCGTGCGCGATAACCCAGTGGGCAGCCACGACGCAAAAACTGTTGTGCCCGTTCAGAAGAGTCAAGACTTATGACTGATATTTTGAAGAAAAAAAGTAGGAATTAGATTCAACAAGATAAATAAAGTGTACCTTCTTTAGCTTCCTGTTCATGTACTAATTCAAAAGTAGACGGCAATGAGTTGTCAACACCAATTTGAGGATTTTTGATATGTAACGGTTCATAAAACCTTCTCTAGTTACTGTAAACAATATTGTGAATCGTGAACATACCAGATCGGACAAATTTTTAACATTTATAGGCAAATTTATTAGACCCCAAGTTGCAGTCATAGATGAATTATAACTATTGAAAAAGGAAAATGATCGTTCCAGTATGATATACAAAAGGCTTACTCTTTAAATGTGGATCTCACTTGTGGATGTTTAATACTTGTAAGAACATCTAAAAGATCTTTTGGACCAAATACTGGCTTAATAACTGATTGTTCTTGACACGTTAATATGGAATACGGAATTATTAGTTAGGAAAAATAGCATGACTTTACTGTTAAAAAATACTGATAACTCTGTCCAGTTTTGCAGAACAGCTTCTTTATGACCTTTCGATCTCTTTTAAAAGGAGATAAAACCGTAAAAACCATGTCGCTATTCTACTAACTTTTCTTCCTAGAGGTATTCCAAGCTCTTGACACATTGAATTTAGACTTCGTAACATTTTGCGCTCCCAACTAACCTGAAATAAAGTCAGTAAAATCACTCTCGAATCGGTGAAAATGACACACCTGGGCTTTTTTCAAATAACTACAGCAGCATGAGTTGTTTAAATAATGTTCATTTGCAATGTTTTGTTTTAACTGCAACAAGATGGTAGGCTTGTGTGTAAACGCCCAATTTTTAAGAGCTTGGAAGCTATCACCTTCTAACAGCAATTCGCATAAATGATCTATTTCATTGCGAGATGCTCCTTTGAGATCATCAAGAAGCAACTGAAAATAGATTTTTTAAGGCAAGGTTTTACTTTAAAAAGAATTTTAACATGAGGTTAAGCATGAAAATAAATAAATAATAATTCACACTATGATCCAAACAACCCACCATTTTCCCAGGCAACGTTCATTGCATTCAACCAATCACTGGTATGATATGAATAAACAGTTGGATTTTTATATAAGAGCTTTTGTCTAAATTTCATCGAATAGTTTCACAGTATTTGGCGCCGAGTCGATGTGAAACGTTAAAGAGAAAGAATGTGTTTGTGAAATCTCATCAAATTAATTTGAAATAAATCCAATGTTTCGCCTGGAAATCTGATTCAGGTTTTTTTCACGGCAACATAGTCAAACAATAAAACTGTTGAATACAAATGAGTACATTGTTCTCTGGTTAACCGTATAGTAAACAGGACATCCAATCATTTTAACAGATACACTCTTTCAGAATTGGATCAATGAATGAAATTGCTAACTTAGCAATACACAGTGTTTTAAAATAAGACCTGTCACTTCATTCGATATAAAAGGAGTTCTATATTGTGTACATAGTGCTGAGATAAATGAACCAAGACTGTGTTAGATAAACTAGGTGAGATAGTGAATGAAAACGTATTCAGCTCATGGAATCGATGTTCACAAAAACAAGAAGCAAAAAAATGATCATGAGTTCTGACAACTCAAGGCTACTATAATTTATCATAGCATGCTAAATATTTTGTGTTTGAATGAGTCATTAACTTTCATTTGGGGACAATGGGAGTTCAGACACCAACTGAACAGACACTGTACATTAGATTCATTCCTCGAAGTCACAAAACATTAGTCGATGTGTACTCATCAGAAATCAATCTGAGTAAAGTAAACGTTCGTACTAGTGTTGGGAATGCTAAGTTCCGAAATATAATAGATTATAGAAAGATAAATCTTCTCTGGTCTCTCTTAACATATTCTATAACCGATGTTATCTTTTTGAGTATTTGGAGCTAGGGAAGAAGAGGGTTGTTGTAATGGTGGTTGGAGTTTGTTAGGGTTAGTGCTGTTATGATGCAACGGTAATAAAAACTTACAACAGTAAAAAATAAATCTAGTTATAACTTTGTAATATTTAGCCATACAGCCTTACTTCCTAATCGAAAAAAAGGAGATTGTAAATACATGAATGATTTAAATCAACTAAAAATAATTTATACGAATATTCATCAATATTTGAACGAATAGTTTGACATACATGAATAATTTACTTACCAGTGCATCATCCAACAAATTCAATTCTATTCTACTACACTTTATGGCTTTAAAGAGCTCACATATCATAATCTCCTGACTGATAACAAAGTGATCATACATATTTAGACGAATCATCAAGTAAAACGCTGATAAACGTTTTTCCAATAGCTCTCAATTATCACAAATATGACTGATTATTACAAGTTAATTTAAAAAGGATGAATCAAATTCTAAAATTGATTAAAGAGACATTTAAGAAAGTGAATCAAAAGTAATGATTATGAATACACAAATTCATGGTGTATTTTTACAATAAGAATTCTTATTGCCCATTAATGGATAGGAAGGAAATCATCTTAATAAAAATACACAGCATGTCAACTGTTCGACGCATATTCAATAAAGTATGAATACTTTTTACACCACATGGCATAAACTCTGCAAAATTAACCCGACATCATCAAAATTTACGAAAGATATCGTTTACTGATTAATCGACAACAGATATCCAAAAATTTCTAGATTTCTGTTACTGAATTGGACAAGCCTCACAATATAAGAAGTTCATTTGTGAAGCAGAATTCAGAAGTCAGAAACGATTAGCAAAGATACAGGCCTGAAGTAGACAAAATCCGGCAATGATGCCCAGGCTTCCAATATGAAACACCCGTCTCGCTGTCTGAGACTGGCCTGAACGACTTTGCGTTCAAATAAAAAAGGCGTGTAAAGTAGCGTATGTCAGTAAATGTTTATATGATAGGAACGATAGTTCTTTCATCTTACTATAACCCAAGTGTGCCGACAACTCAGCAAACTCATCAGGTGCACATAGTGTCACATAAAAAACAACCGACTATTATAATAAATAAAAAAGAGTAGTGCAAGACAGTTCACCAAACTAGCCTTTAATAAGGTAAAGTTCACGACGTGTTAGAACTCGACATTTTGAAGTGGTTAGGCAGCTCTTGTAACTACTATCATAAAAATGTAGAGCGGAGAAACAAAAAATCTTTCAAATTCGTGTGCCTGAATGAAGATAGAAAATCATACTTCTGCAATTGCTCTGCTTTATTTGAGATGTGAGAGAGTTCCGTAATCAGAAATGAAGCTTTTTATTATCGTAACACTATCGTGAACCGTGAATAGAAAACTGATGTGCCTCATAACCCTAGATGCCCAGAACAAAATCACTTCCGATAACGCAACCTACTCTTAAATATGGAGATACAACCTAATATAGATGTTGATTGAATATACACTAAGGATTTAATTATGCTTAAGTTTATTTGCATATCGTTGCATTTATGTGTGTAAAGTACACTGGATACCCTCAGTTGAACATTTCATAGTCAATGGTTTTCACATTAGCGTTATTGAAATCTGTTGAACTAGTCCTGTCTTCAGACTCAGACTTCGTCGACTTACACACGTTTCTTCGATGAAACTGGGGAATTCTAAGAGTTATAAATGGCGACAGTCCCTTAAAACGGCTGGTTGCTGAACAGGAGGGTAAGAACACTACAGTGGTTACACTACGAAATGATTCACACTGGTGGACCTGATCAGGATATGTACAAGAATAAGTCTACTATGTACTAATGAAGTCTAGGTAATTTAAAACTACGATAAAACTTTAATTAAAAACGGAGCTGTCTTCTTGCATGTAGAATCTGTATTTGTGTACAAGTGAGTAATATTGATTTATCAACTGTTTGGTTCTGATTGAAGCCACACTAATTTGCTGTTCTTCAAATTCCGTCGTTCAGTTGACTTCGTCTACATATTCCTGGCGAATAGAAATAGATTTCTTTCCTGTCGTGCACATCAATTTAGGCGTCTTCATTCCACGTAGGCTGTGACTCACTGATATTTTTCCTGCTACCTTGCCAGAGGTTTATTAGAGAGTCATTTTTGTATTACTGTAGGCGAAAAGATGATTTCCACATAAAAGTTGTCAATGTTATCCGTTCCATGAATGGCCGACAGAAAGAATATTTTGAGGGAAACAACACCAACATGTCTACGTCCGTTGGCGTTTGTAACACCGAGTCCTAAACTACTGAACCTCTCGACTCATATACTCTGTTTTAAGACCTTGATTGTGACGAATCTCATGGAACTACTTAGAAAACTAATACATGAAACTTATTGCTGGACATGAGACTGCATAAGATTAATTCGTAGTGTTCGTTCATGTTAATAACTGCCTCGTTCTTAATGGGCATCTGATTTGAATTCCGAATAAGCCATCTATAAAAATGTTGCGAACATTCAGTGTCTGAAGGCTCTTTGGCTTATAAAAAATCTGCGATTCCAGACCACAAACTTATTAGAATCAGAATTCAGGAAATGGGGATCTTAAATATACAGATTGAAAAGAACCTTATAGAAAACCATACAATGGCTAGTTGTTGCGGTTGTAAATTAGTGTGGTGTACCGAACTGTTACCTAGTGTGAATTCACGAGTGAACGCTTCTAGCTAATGTGTGTTGGGCAATACTAGGCGGCTTGTTACAGTGTTAGAGCATTGCGATACTACTTGCTTTGAGAATTCGTTTCTGCTCGATGCCAACTATTTATAAGTCTATGAATCTGCAACAGCTTAGGTTGGTTGGTTAAGAGTTCACCTTAAACAACTAAGCATATGTCAAAACAGTATAGTTCAAGTATTCATTCACTTCCTTATTTTGTATAGGCGTTATATTTCCTATTACCTTGTATTGAATGTTGAGAGGATTTGTTTGTCTGAACCAATAATCCCACGCTTCACTGTGACTGCCTGAAGATCTAAATAAAGACTAATTCACTACTTGCCTGGTTTCTTCTATCAATAGCACGAGGGTTATCTAGAGGCACGAAAAATCTCTATGTTCTTTCACAACGTACCTTTTTAGGCCGGTCACTGTCTAACAGCATAATTTCGCCATATTTGTCAAATATTGTGAGTTACATTGTGATAGTAAATACTATCACGTTTCAATCAAAAAGCTTTCATAGAAAGGCTACTGCTCCTAGTAGGAGGCTCTAGTGCAGCCAATATTAATGTTGTAGCTAGTTCACTTCAAATCAATGGTAAAACAACTAGGTTTATGATGAAGAACTTTGAAGGATCATTCATATGTAAATTACAAGGGTTTCGCGGCACACGAGCGTTGTGTACTATGTCGTAAGGCAGGTCGTTCGAAAAGATCAGTCTTTTGCGGTTGAGTAAAAACAGGATTAGATAAACTCATAGTGTCTGTGAGCCTGTTCGTGTGGGCATTTAGATACACGCCCTCGTTGGGTAAGATTAAGGATCCCCAAGATTTCATTGAAGTCGGAGTGTGGTTCCATAAACGAGTTGAAGTGCAGTGTAACCAATTTCGGTTTTTCCTGAATTGCGAATAAAGAGTAAAACGAATGGTCGGTCCATTGTGAAAATTTTTCATCTGAGAATAGAGCCCTTGACCGTCTGTCAAAAATCGATCTTAAACCGTTCAGTTTGTAGATGGCAGATGGTCGTTCGGATCCATGGGTTTCCTAGTAACATACCAGAACAAATGAAATGTCAAGATTCGAATCCTTCTGTAGGGTTGGTATAATCGCATGGGGAGGATTTATGTAACTTGCTACAGATATTTCGACGAAATCACGGGTCAGTGATTCGGAACTAACGTCTTTGATAGGTACTGATCCTAGAAACCCATAAAAGGATCCGCAAATATTAAGAAGTGAGAATCATTAATTGCATCAGTTTGGCGATCGGCTAAATCAAAATGAACTTGCTGGAAACGAGCACTGGGAGCTGTGAAAAAGCCCAGTAGATGTATGGACAAAAAAGTGAGAGTAACGATCGAAAATCTTATAGAGTATCTCCATTTCATTTATCTATTATTTATGGCTTTTCTGAGATTAGGAATTAGGATTTAAATTAAGGTTTTTCATCACAAACAGACGTTGATTGTGTTGTCGAAATACTGTTTATCTGTAAGTATAAATAATTCTCGCCCCGAAACCTTTGACTCTGTTCTTGATTTCATCATTTCGTGCATAAATTATAATTTACCTTTTCAAACGTTCTGAAGATAGACATTAGAAAGTCGGTTGGAGTGGTAAGTTACTTCCCTGCTTGTATGTTAGAATAGTCTGTAATTTGCAGACCATTATTTTAAGGCGTTTGAGTCTGATCACAGGAACACCTCATCACATCTTAGGGTCATATAAACCAGTTGTGGAATGTTATGATTTAAATTTTGACGTTGCAGTTCGGTAAGATGCACGGTTATCTATCCAGGAATTTGTTTCAGTTTACTGATATCTATAACATTTGCCAGTTGTATGCCCTTCATGTGATACAAATACCTATAATTTATTTCTTAAAAGTCGTATGATGACTTTCTTGCCTTAGTTTGTTCATTCACTTAACTGCTAGTGTCTGTTTTCTCTTAACTTTAAAATCATATCTAGGAGCCCTGTAGTACCCCGGGATCTTAAGAGAACTAATGCACGAATTCAGTTATTTATTTATTTTAACACATAGGCACCAAATACTTATGCGCCACACAGGTATCATTTGATATGAGTGAGGGCTGTGATACTGCCCGGGTGCCCAGACCGAAGCAGGTAGTTTTCTCAGGGGGCCACACCCCGAGCCTTTGACCTAAAGGTCTGATCTACAAGGCAGGGGAGCAGTGTAAGGAGATGCAGTTCCATGGTAGCCGGTGATCAACGATTGGTTCATGCGCCAATTGTCCCCGCAGGATACTGGAGCTCGTGTGCACCATTGGTTTAGGATCCGGTTAAAGCGCCGGATATTCGCCTTTCATCCTCTCATTTTCGTAAACAACACCCCCGCCACGAGAAGGCAGTGAGTAGGACTTCCCTAGCAGAGGCTGTATACACGTGGCCATGTGAGAGCGTTTGCGGAGCGAGAGAGGACTCTCCCTACTCTCGGCCATACCAGGGCATTTGGGGGTGACGAAGATAAATAAGCTGCTCTGTATAACTAGTACACTGCAAACTAGGAGATTAATTCTTATCCATTATTTTCTAAGATGGACCAGTTTGGTGCTTTCGATATATATATATATATATAACCTTCAGTTTGGTCAATATAGTATCCAGAGCACTAGCTTCCATAATCATCTGACGTCTAACCGGAGGCCAGGAACATCTAATCAAGACACGGCACTAGCCGACAGACCGATGTTCGTTTTGAGAAGCACGAACTACATTGTTGTAGTGTGTGTGATAATCATGACAAACGGTTGGGAACGTGAGGTGACATTTTCAATGCAATTTGAGTTGCGTATACATATACACTGGGAGCTGTGAAAGAGCCCAATGGAAGTTTGTTTTGTCTGATCACCTTAGGTTCCCGAAAAACTACACAGGAGCGTACCCACTTCTTCACAGCTTCATTCATACAGGAAAAACAGAATCATCTTTCTATTAGCTTGCTAGTTGCACGAAAACCCGAATTAGAAAGCTCGTGCAACATATTGAAGACGTTTCATCGATAACTTTTCGTACTACTTATAGAACTCGCACATAGCAAAGTTTCCTTACCTGTTACTCTCTGTTTGATTCGTAGTTTCAGAGTTGTCGAGGATAACTTGCGTTGAAGATTAGTGTTTTCGTTTTGAGGCTGGAAGTATTTCGATAAGTCGATTCCTCAGAAACTGTTCAAGGAAATATACGAGACTACATTGGCTGCCCTAGATAAATTTTCAATATTTGAAGTAAACTGACAAATGTAGCCAGTTGTCGGGAAAATCTGGGAGAAACAAGCTCAGAGCGACTAGATTTTTGTAGTTGGCAAGCAGAGTAAACACTCGGCTATCCACTGAGTGTTGATAGTGCCGTAGAGCACGATAAGTGGTTAGATGTTGTCGGACGAAAGTGCTATACTTCGATCCGGTGTATGACAATGTCAAAGGTTAATATGTATTGTTTATCCATTTGTTGTATCACGGAATTTCTTGCCAAATAAGGCCGTCCAAATACCTTCCTAGAAGTCCTTCATTGGAAAACGGTATATTCTTAAGGACTCTGGGTGGTAGACCATCACTATTTACAAATGGCTCTCTTTTAGTCTTTACATATACCTCGATTCCTACCTGAGAGAATCGGTGGTTAACCGCTACCTGAAACGAAAGCCCGTTGGGCGAAAGCATTGTTATTCATGTACATAAGTTTTTAAAACATTTGAACGATAACAAAAAAAATAGTATGAGACTTGATTAAGTGTTGTAAGTGGGAATAAGTAGGCAGCGTGACAAAAAACGTGTATTATACGATTAACACAAATAAGTAAAACACAATCAATACTGTCACAAATACTCCGATTTCATAGGCATAGGAGTATATTAATTTTTGAAGTCATAAAAACTTCAGTACTAGTGCTAATAAAAACGTTCATAATAATTTTGTGTCTCTACATTATTAAAAATAGGGGGGCAGTGAAATAGCCACTTGTCCATGTGTTATTATGGAGGATACTTGGTGGCAAATAGCAATTGTATGGAGGGGGGTTGTTTGTTTGCGTTACCATGATGTACGTTCACTAGGGGTTTTATGTACCCAAGTGTTTTAAGGGTTCTTATATTCAGGAATTAATTAGTATTGATGTACTGTCATTATTAGATGTTTTGTTTAAGGTATGTTCTAGCACTAAAATTATCTATTTGGAATTAAAATGTCATTAAAATTATAATAAGCTCTCTCTCTATGACCATGGTCATAGTTGTAAGCTCCTAACCGTAATATTTCGAGGTTAGTGGGTTTTTGATGCAACTTTGTACTTAAGGTTTTACTTCACTAACTATGGGAAGAGACTTTGAATTTCGGTTCATGATTTAATATTTCAAATGGATCGACCATTAACTGTGTGTTCATGTAAGTGATTTTTTGGACGCAATATGACTTCATGGTTTGTATGAACAAAAGAAGTGAGAGTAACGATCGAAAATCTTATAGAGTATCTCCATTTCATTTATCTATTATTTATGGCTTTTCTGAGATTAGGAATTAGGATTTAAATTAAGGTTTTTCATCACAAACAGACGTTGATTGTGTTGTCGAAATACTGTTTATCTGTAAGTATAAATAATTCTCGCCCCGAAACCTTTGACTCTGTTCTTGATTTCATCATTTCGTGCATAAATTATAATTTACCTTTTCAAACGTTCTGAAGATAGACATTAGAAAGTCGGTTGGAGTGGTAAGTTACTTCCCTGCTTGTATGTTAGAATAGTCTGTAATTTGCAGACCATTATTTTAAGGCGTTTGAGTCTGATCACAGGAACACCTCATCACATCTTAGGGTCATATAAACCAGTTGTGGAATGTTATGATTTAAATTTTGACGTTGCAGTTCGGTAAGATGCACGGTTATCTATCCAGGAATTTGTTTCAGTTTACTGATATCTATAACATTTGCCAGTTGTATGCCCTTCATGTGATACAAATACCTATAATTTATTTCTTAAAAGTCGTATGATGACTTTCTTGCCTTAGTTTGTTCATTCACTTAACTGCTAGTGTCTGTTTTCTCTTAACTTTAAAATCATATCTAGGAGCCCTGTAGTACCCCGGGATCTTAAGAGAACTAATGCACGAATTCAGTTATTTATTTATTTTAACACATAGGCACCAAATACTTATGCGCCACACAGGTATCATTTGATATGAGTGAGGGCTGTGATACTGCCCGGGTGCCCAGACCGAAGCAGGTAGTTTTCTCAGGGGGCCACACCCCGAGCCTTTGACCTAAAGGTCTGATCCACAAGGCAGTGGAGCATCGTAAGGAGATGCAGTTCCATGGTAGCCGGTGATCAACGATTGGTTCATGCGCCAATTGTCCCCGCAGGATACTGGAGCTCGTGTGCACCATTGGTTTAGGATCCGGTTAAAGCGCCGGATATTCGCCTTTCATCCTCTCATTTTCGTAAACAACACCCCCGCCACGAGAAGGCAATGAGTAGGACTTCCCTAGCAGAGGCTGTATACACGTGGCCATGTGAGAGCGTTTGCGGAGCGAGAGAGGACTCTCCCTACTCTCGGCCATACCAGGGCATTTGGGGGTGACGAAGATAAATAAGCTGCTCTGTATAACTAGTACACTGCAAACTAGGAGATTAATTCTTATCCATTATTTTCTAAGATGGACCAGTTTGGTGCTTTCGATATATATATATATATATATATATAACCTTCAGTTTGGTCAATATAGTATCCAGAGCACTAGCTTCCATAATCATCTGACGTCTAACCGGAGGCCAGGAACATCTAATCAAGACACGGCACTAGCCGACAGACCGATGTTCGTTTTGAGAAGCACGAACTACATTGTTGTAGTGTGTGTGATAATCATGACAAACGGTTGGGAACGTGAGGTGACATTTTCAATGCAATTTGAGTTGCGTATACACATGCACGTGCTCATTCTTAATTCTCTCTTTCTTTGCTGACTTAGTATGGAAACGTGCACCCTATGTAAAACAATGTCGTATCAGATAATACGTTGTTTTTATTTAATCGACGTAAATAAAATCTGTACACTTAACTCTACAGTCTAAATGAGCTGGGATTCGTAAGTTTTAGCGAATTTTAACTTATTGATCCTGCTTTATGTTTTTAGATATCTCTCAGTAGCCTAATACTTCAAAATGCTTTCAGAAAAACGTATAAAAGTAAGGTATTCAACAGACCCAAATGGGAATCTTTGGGCTGCCGATCCCAACAATTTTGGCAGAAAAATGCTAGAAAAATATGGTTGGTCTCCTGGAAAGGGTTTAGGAAAAAACAGCAACGGTATTAAAGCCCCTATAAAGGTATCAGTTTATTTTCTAAAAGGGTGTTTAGGCGTCCATACAGAAAGGCACACGGGGGTTGGGTATGAAGTCGGACTTTTGTTTGGGTATCCGGCAGATTAATGAATACGCAAGTCTTCTGCGTAAGCTTAACAACGCCCACAGTAGTTCTGACAAAACAAATGCAATCAGTGAATGTTTACCAACGAGTTGGAGGAAGGGTATGAAGACTTTAAGGTCAAAGGATGCATCTAAGTATGATCAGCAAGATCTATCCATTGTTCTTGGACATACTCAGTCATTTTTGGAAGAAAAAATAGCCTCGCCAAATGCTCCTGCAAAGGAATCTGGTTGTCAAATTCCTAGTGTGATAAGTCCAATGTCTGTCTCCGAATATTTTGCTAAAGCAAAGAAACACAGACTCCAAAGTGAGCCACAAACTTGTGGTGTGTTGTATTTTTTACTTTATTAGATACCTTAGATTTGGTTGATGTCAAGTCAGCCAAGTCAATTGAAATTATCGTCCCGGTTGATCAACACGTTACATCAGTAAGTTCCAAACTTTGTATTGGTTATCATGATAACAAGAACTCTGTTTCAGTAAAGATCAATGATAACGAAGGGTTCGAATGTAGGAAAATTGAAGAGATATCAAACCATGAAGACGTCGAACTGATCATACCACCACTAGATCCTGATAAAAAAATAAGGCGTGTCGAAACTGTAAATGCAGGAGAAAGTATGTAATGTCTTATGGTGACTTACCCTTTTTCTTAGATGTCATTAATTCTCTATTCGTGCAGTCCAACTTATTGTCGATGCCTGGGTACTGTTATTACTAATTATTTTTGAGTAAAAATTGTACTGACCAGTTTGTTGTTATATTCATGGCAATCTCAAAGTAACAAAGAATCGCATCTTGTATGTATTGCTAAATAATGGTGAGGTAACACTTACGTAAGGTCATTCGATGTTTACTTCGGTTTCTAGTAGCTGCGTTTTTATTATTTTGAAGCGCAGAAACCTAGTGTTTTTGCAGCTAGATAACTACGCTTACTCTCATATTGCTATGTGATTATATAGTTATACATGTTATAACGATTAAAAAAGTAATTTCCGTATCCGTGACGTGGTCGTTAGACGACTTTAAACCTTATAAATATTTAATGATTGAAATACGCTGTGTTATGCTATTCTGGGTAGGATAAAAATAAGTCGGAGAATAGTTAGGAGTGGTTAAAGCAATATTTAATATCAGCCCATGAAGCTATTGGCGTTTGATTTAAGTTGTTTCAGTAATTTCGAATTATGTTACAGTCCTCAGAGTAATTGTACTTTATTGTTCAAGACTTCAAGTGGCACGGCTAACTGTCGAGCAAGGTGTTGTGAATGGGCTCTATCATTATTCTGAATCTTCAGCTTAGTATCATGTGTAGGTTTTCGGAACCACTGATACCATTATTTTGACTAATTTGCTTTTTATTCCAGTAAAGTCCTTCCACTATATTCATGTAGTTTGGCAAACTAAACCAAAAAAGTTTGTGCCAATTCCGATTTTATATAACATAGTGTTATAATCCTCTCTTTTTTCTTACGATTAATGACCCAGCTATTCCTATTGCTTAGTATTCTCGGACACCGATTCACTCGACAAGTCCCCAAATCAGAACACGGTTGAACAGGGAAGAGATTATATTTCAAATAGCAAGTCAGAAGCCAGTAGGAAGCACAATAGAGAAAACGTCAGTATATTTATAGTTTTAACATAAGAAGATTCCAGAGTATTCTCCGACTATCGACTAGTGCTGATTGGATAAGAATCAGCCAATCAGCGTGCACCAAAACAATCATGCATTGAGCATGCTTTAATCTAGTCTATGTCCCGCTAACACCTCCCCTCTGAGCAGATTCGTAGGATCTGGTGCTAGGGTCCAACTGCAACTGAGTGACTGGCTTGTGCTTTCGATTAGTCCATCGTCTGGGCAATGAAGAATTATCACTTTTTCCTTGCACAGAGACTGACATGTCTGTTCCCGGCGTTTTGATTTTTCTTAAAGAAAAGTATGCATAACTTTTAATTCTCCAGCCAATCAGCGTGCACCAAAACAATCATGCATTGAGCATGCTTTAATCTAGTCTATGTCCCGCTAACACATAGGCTGCTTGGTCAGTCATCCTTATATATATACAAAGCGATACTTAAAATGGCATGATTAAATACAGCATATGGTTACTAGTACATAAATGGTAAACATAAGTGGTCGATCACTTGTTCTTTGGCATAATACTACCACTCATGTAATTTTAATTCGCTCCTTATAAATAACCGGTGATTTGATTTTATTCCGAAGTACCAGTATATTTTGCATAATGTACCGTGTTAAATCACCATTGATGCATCAGGACTAAAAGAAGAAACTTGCTAAATCATAGTACTTCTGACTACACAGAAAAATATAGACTCCACACTCACCCGCTCAAGAGCGAGCAACCTTAAAAAATAGGTGAATAGAAAGGTCACCATCATAGTACCAACAGACAAAGGTAGTTATGGACATCAAGAAGGCCAGTGACCTACTCAAAGACAAGTCTATAACAACCATTAGTGAGAAATCCTATTAAAAAATTAGACAGCTGAATCGACAGAACTCTAAGCGAACTCGTCAAAGACAAACTACGAAACAAGATCAGTGACGAACAAAATCCACTACAACAGATCAAATTAAATACTTCATTACAAAGTATTGTTACGGCTGGACAGTAACATGCATTTTGTGCAAAGAACTCTAAATGATAACAAAAGGCAGAATCTTGTGATCATTCTATGGATTCCTCAACTTAGTCCCCTGACTGCACAAGTTTCTTATAACTCACTCTTATTCAACAAACATACGAGTGAAACTAATAGGATCCCCTATTTCACAAATAATTGCAGATAGCGTGATGCAAAGACTACAAAGCACATTTCTACTAGCAATCGAACTGAAGATTTAAATACGTAGATGACATTCGTTAGTTCGGAAATGCTTAGGATTTTATCAACAACATCTTCAATAATATCAAATTTACAAGTCAAAAAGAAGAATAAGTTAAAACTTTTCTTGGACGTTTGACTCAACAGAAATACAGTCAGTCAGCTACAACGTAGGACCAGGCACATTTATGCATCGGTAAAAGTTGCCATACCTCATTAACACAACAAGATCAACACCGGATTCATAAAAGTAGTTATTTCAGAGGTGGTAATATATAAAAGAAAGATTGCGATGGGGATATAGTGCAGAAAGAAAGGATTAGTTCGTAGAAAGAAAGATATGAAGCGATTTTAAACTCTTAGTTTAAGGGAAGACAGAAAGTGTATACATCTACACCATTGTGATCGATTCTGAGCCATGTCACCCACAGTCTCCAATCATTGGTTACAATAGTCACGCGGACCCCGACCAAGTAGTTTGCATCTAACAACATAGCTCAGACTAGGAGTTAGTGACTTCAAGCACTGGTGCCACGTTTTGGTTTCGCCGCCCCTAACTTTCTTCCAACCATCTCCAACACCGGTTAGCATTGCACTTCGTGGTAATCGGTATTCAGGCATACGTAACACGTGGCCCAACCATCTCAGTCGATGAAGATTCACAACCTCATCAACTGATTTACCATCATTCCCTAATAACCTGCCTCTAACCTCACTATTACTTACCCGATGATCCCAGCAGACGCCAGCAATGTTTCTGGGGTATCTGTGGTCAAATACTAATAGCTTACGAGTGTCTTCTACGCTTAATGGCCATGTTTCGCTGCCGTGAATTAAAACAGAACAGACTGCCGCGCAGTATACTCGTCCTTTGTTGATAGACGAATATCTCGTCTTCGCCATAGGTGACGTAAGTTGGCAAATGCCAAGCGAGCTTTTCGAATCCGTGCTGAGATTTTGTCAGACACCAACCCATTAGGACTGATCAGACTTCCAAGATAAGTGAAGTTGTCAACGCGTTCGACTACTTCACTCCCTATCCTTAGTTCATGTGTTGATGCAGACCAGTCCTGAAGCAGCAGCTTGCATTTAGAGGGAGAGAAGCGCATTCCGAACATTGTTGCTTAGTGCTACCGAAAAACTCTGTATTTTATCAGCGTCTTCACCAAACAGGACTATATCATCTGCGTATTCTAAGTCGATAAGTGGACCTCCTGGAAGAAGATCAATACCCGAGAATTCAGTGGACGAGAACGTTATTTCCGTCAGAAGGTCTATGATGAAGTTAAACAAAAATGGAAACAGAAATACAGGCACTTGGAGACACAAGTGTACGGAAAACCAAGCTACATGTATAAAATACTAATCTACAACAGCACCCAAAAGCAGTTGTGACCGGACGCTATTCAGTTAAGTGGAAACTCACTTAAGTGCTCTCATTACACGAAGAATTGGAACTCATCTTCAGTTCATCTCCCTCAAGAATAACTACCCTACCCTGACATCTAAAAACGTCTGACATACAATTAGAATACCAACCCTAGAAAACGGAAACAGATTTTCTTACCACATTTAAGAAATATCGCAGAAACCTGTACAATGATCCTAAGGCCCTATGGAATTACATTCGCTACAAAACCAATACAACCACTTCATCGCATTGCATATAAAATACAAATCTAACCTAAACAAAGTAGATTGCATCAACTGCTATATTAGAACAAGTGGGTTCTCCTTTTACTTACGTATAATCGAATCGGGTAAAACCTGATAGTGCCAGGTAAATTGTGGTTAGTTGGCAGCCAACAGCCATATCGATCTAAATCTATGAGCACATGGGGAATGTTAAACAATTGCGAGGCCAGAGGGTCAACCGACAAAGTTATCGCAAATACAAGGACGAATGGATACGACAAACATAAACTACGGCAAACAAACCCATCTAGACGAACTGATAAAATACTTTGGGAATAACTAGGAAGCTCACTCCCACACAAAGCATGTATTGACAAAATACTTCAATGAGATTTCTTGGACTTGATTCCTAAGTAACATTAACGGCTGGTCATTGTCATTATAAGTCAAGAGTATTTCCTGTTGGCGTTTTTTGTTTCGTAGTTTTATAAGTGATTCATTTCTGGCTCACAGAGCAAATTTTCAGGAAATTACTGTTGGACCTCCATACATCCCACCACCATTAAATTTAGTTTTATACTCTATTAAGTGTCGAGTATGGAGCATCACCACCTAGCCAAGGATGCAAGTTTGCATACCTCATATTATTATTGACGAAGCAATTAAAACCTTGTCACACTAGGACATTGTAATGAGCTCAACTTCTCAAGCTGAATTCGTGAATAAGCCCACTTAGATAGCTTCCGAACAAATTTGCTAACCACCATTTCCCGCTATCTTACCAGATCATCAGTGCACATCTTCAGAAGTTTATCTGGATTGCAGCCCTTCATATACTGTTATCTAATCGGACAACTGTTTTCGGAATTGTACCAGTAAATATTCATTTGACTACAACTTTTTATCCTATTCATATATGAACAGCTTCCATTTATCGTAACACTATCTTGTTCATCCGCCAGCCACTCCTAACGAGGACCGGGTAAATGGACGTTGATAACACACTATTTTCGACAATATGGAGACAAAATAGTTGAGGTGATAATATCTGAGCGACTCAGTCTTTCTGCAGATGCTGCCAGTTACCAAACAACATGAACCCATAGATGATTAGCGCGCTGGGCTTAATGTAACTACGTCCAGCAAGCGGAGCAGTCCAGTGCACATGACAGCAAATCCCTATATTTTTAGGAGTGGGGTGCTCCACATGTTTACTGACCTCATTCTCTTCTTAGTCTTTGAATATCGCGACTGTTTAATTCAATAGGCTGTGAGATGGAAATAAACTCACCCATTTGAAAAGAATACTTCAGATTTTAAACTTGGCTGATGTAAGCTACCACACCTAAGGGCTTATTTCTCGGTCGACTTCGTCATCATTTTAGTTAATTCCAGGTATGACCAACATTCCTCTGTCAGAGATTATTATACCGTAGTGAATTTTATGGAAACAGTTCGATAAAACTAGATACTAAGCCTTCGTAAGTCAAGCTAAGACAATGACCTAAAAAATCATTTCGTCAGGTGGAATGTTGTTTAGTATTTTCATGAAACACTGATTTAAAGACTATTGTGACAATTAAGAAATCCATAGTTTTTAAATCAACATATTCATCAATTTCGAATTTATTACATGAATTTTAGGCTTCTTCCAATAATAAATCATCTTTGACGTGTTCTAAGTTCTCAGCGCAGCCAGTTTTTGACATGACGAAATCGTCTTCTACTCGCATACCGATGCCCAGAAAGTCTCTCGAAACGCCCAGTTTCGCCAACTCATCTCTAAAGTAAATACCTGGTTCTAAAGGGAACACAACGCCTGCTTCGAAACGTTTTGTACTAGGTATCGTAGGAGTATCATGAATGTCTAAACCAAGATAATGTCCGACATGATGTGGACATATCTTTTGTGCAACCTGAATTTTAAAAATAAAATTTTTGCGTAAGGTCGGTTCAAAATCGTAATATGTATCATGGTAACATATTTCGAGAAAAAGCAGAATAGTTTGCGTTAAAACTGATCTAGCAGTTTGGCTAAAGCATACAAGTTTTGAAATCTATACTTCAAGTCCAAATCGTGTTTGTTATAAAGTGGCAACCGTGAAGAAAGTGCTTCTGTGCAGTGCCTAGTAACAAAAAATATCTGGTGACAAAATAGATAAGATATTTTCCGGCGAACTTGTGAATCTGAGTTCCAGGTTGTCGCCACTGAATTAAATCACGTTTGTCAGCAATTTGGAATTCATGCTAAGGTGAAGTGCTAAGCCCCACGATTAGGAAACTCTCAATTTGGCTAATTTCATATGATCATACAAGCCCTTTCATAAAAACGTTTACTTGCGATTATTATTAATAATGTCTTGCGTTAGATGAATTACATATATCGAAACCTTTGGCAAGAATAATAATAGAAATGAACAGTCATGTTCAGCATATTAAGTAAGTCTTTAAACACGTTTCGTACTTGCAGATCCACGTACTCGACCTCAAGTCACACTATGTGAGGACCAGTAATACTAACCAGCTCCCCGAGAGAGGTGAAGTGGGGTCAATCAGCTGCAACATAGGACCAGGCACATATATGCATCGGTCCAACTCGTCACACCTCATTAGCACAAAATGAACACCAAATTCATAGAAATATTCACTTCAGTGGTAGTAATATATAAAAGAAAGATTGTGTATAAGAATATAAAATTGGAAGAATTAGTTCACAGAAAGAAAGGTATAAAGCAAAGCATGTATACGCCGACGCCACTGTGATCGATTCTAAGCCATGTTACCCATAGTCTCCAACCATTGGTTGCGATAGTCACTTGGACCTCAAGCAAATAGTCTGCATCTACCAACATGGCTCAGGGTGAAGTGGGTTGTGAACTATCAATTGGAAGTTGTTTTTATATCGTATAACCACCACTTCACTTACAAAGGATATTCGAAGTGAACGAAGTATGTACATTTGAGAGATCACTTATTACAGGTACATAATGGATTTGGCGCTTAAATGCGTATCTATATACCCAATATTATGGAAGTTTGTCGTTCATATTTGAAAGGATTTACGCTCGAAACTACATGCGAGCCAATAATTGTTGTTAATCAATGTAAGTGGAAATCAAATACTTTTATCAGTCTTTATGAAAATGAACTTGCAAATTCTTTGCAGCATATATATCTGGTGCCCCTCGTACCAATATTTATGTGTTCAAATAAATAAATAACTCATTTCACTTTACTATGATGTAGCGACTGTAAGAACAGTAAAATTCTGATTTAAACTTCTACTTATTTTTGTTCAATTTAAATCAAACCACAATCATTAATAGATTGTTGTGTAGTAGATCATTTTAAGATCAGCAGCAGATGATATGTGTATATGAAGACAATAATGTCCATAGCAAGAGGAAACTTGGATCAAGTTCAAGGTGTTGGAACAATCGTATGTCAATTAAGTATAAGATCATGGAAATACCGATAATAATACTAATGGTAATATGTAACTATGAAGGAATTTGATTAGGAGGTAAGTATCTATTAAAAAAAATTAACTTACATGCAACTTGTCCTGGTCTGGGATAATCCCCTCACTTATTAAGTGTCGTCCTATTTCAGACAGCATATGATGATATACATCTTGCAGACTTTGTTCAGGAGAGGCTAAAGATGCACATGAGTTCTGTACATCAACTAATATTTCATGTATAACTTTTTGGGGTGCCGAAAAGTTTCCTAATGAATAAACAGATTTTAATATGTAATTACATTGTTTTGGATTTGACCTAACTGAAGCATTCACCAACTATAATGGAGTAAGTAGGTACTAATGCACGTTTTACTGAAAGTGAAACTTAATATAAGGCATCGGTTAAAAAGTTATTTAGTGGTAGGAATAAGGCGTCATACCTGTCCAGCCCTATATCTCAAATATCATAAGTGGAATGAGATTGGATAATTCATCAAACTGACACAAGATCACAGATACTTCTTTAAAATGAGAAATCGAAATAACCTGGTACGACCAGTGTCTTACAAAGCTTTGATTATTTGTATGAACATATCCACGAGAATGAGTAAGGAGTATGGTTATGCCGCATCATAAAAACTATAGAAGTTGAGAAAGCGATAAATATTGACGGTATTTACCATAGAATTAAAAGGAGTTTAGTAGACAATTAAATTACTAACATTCGTTCATTGAATATCAATTATTAATATCACAGTTCCACATACACACACTCATCTATTTTCACCGTGTGTACTTTTCACATTTATTTGTACGGACTAATGATTCTGTTGTACTTAAATACCTGTTTATTTCGGATTCCAAATATAATACATTCATTTCGGGAATTCCTATTTAGCATGATGATTCGAATATTTGTGTGTGGGGGGGGGGCTGTGATACTGCCCATGTGCCCAGACCGAAGCAGGTAGTTTTCTCAGGGGGCCACACCCCGAGCCTTTGACCTAAAGGTCTGATCCACAAGGCAGTGGAGCATCGTAAGGAGATGCAGTTCCATGGTAGCCGGTGATCAACGATTGGTTCATGCGCCAATTGTCCCCGCAGGATACTGGAGCTCGTGTGCACCATTGGTTTAGGATCCGGTTAAAGCGCCGGATATTCGCCTTTCATCCTCTCATTTTCGTAAACAACACCCCCGCCACGAGAAGGCAATGAGTAGGACTTCCCTAGCAGAGGCTGTATACGCGTGGCCGTGTGAGAGCATTTCGACAGGTAGGGCGGGCCCATCCCATTCTCGGCCATACCAGGGCATTTGGAGGCGCATATATACTTGGTGCCCTCTTGTACCAATATTTATGTGTTGAAATAAATAATAAATAAAAATGATTCGAATACCTCTAATTATCATACTTATCCTATGTACCAAAGTTAACACTTGAATATCATTGGACAGGCATTTAATGTAGATTTGATTTGGTTTCTAAACGTCACATGCTTTTCGATAATCTTGATTTCGGTTATTACTCTGAAGAAGTCTAGACAGATTTTTTTGACAAAAAGTCGTAGTATTTCAAATTTCTAATATAATTTAAACAATTTGTTTCTGAACTTGCCGTACTGACCTTACAGGCTTTTAATACTTGTGTGTTAGGAATTACCATTTGGTATAAATGACCAAGATATTTTGAGGCTACATGTTGTGAACGAGGCTATCAATGGCATGACAATTCGTGAGATCCAGTTAGTTGGAAAAACCTAATTAAATCTGTCTAGCTTTAATTTTCTTAATTTGCAAGCTTCAGAATTTTCAAGTGTTAAAATTAAGTAAGCGAAAACACTTCAACATACCGTTTACTGGCCAAGTTCGAGTAATATCGGACGTATACCCGTTAAAGCGACATCCAGCATCCACCAAAACTAATTCCCCATTCTCAATTCTCATATTGTTTTTCATGTAATGAATGATGTTTGTTCTACTCCCTCCAGCAACAACAGGAGGATACCCGACAGAACAGCCTCGGCTGCGCATTTGGTATTCTATATGACCTTGTAAAGCAGTTTCCGTGATTCCTGGTTGTGTAATTTGCATAGCCGACTTAAGAGACTCGATCGCTGCAATAACCGCGGTTTTAATCTGTCTTAGTTCATAATTTGATTTTATAAAGCGAATTCTGTCGATTATGTAGTCTGGATTTTCAAAACTAATACTTTTGTCGCCAATTTGCCGGGAGAATTCTAAAATCTTTCTCAAAACGAACTTATTTAAGGGGCGCTCAACAAAATTTTTGGAGGATAATGGACTATACCAAACACATATGGATTGCGCAAATAAAGCTTGATGGTTCAAAAAGTTACTAAATTCATTCAAAGGATGGGAATTATCAACCCCAGTTGCCAAAGAAGCTTCTGATAGCGTCAAAGATGGACCATCCCAGATTTCGGCATGTTTGTTTTGAGTCTCCACGAATAGATGAGTCGACCAATTGGAGCCACTTTGATCGCGATGCTCTTCTGTTTTATCTGTGCAAAACAACAGAACTCCATTTGGTTCACTTAATCCAGTGAAGTAGAAGAAGTTGGAATCTTGGTGAAAAGGGTATGGGACATGGTAAGCCATATACTGTATTTCTGAGGCTGGTATTATAACTATGTGATAGGAAGGCCTATTTACCAGCTGTTCAGTGCAAATGTTCAGTTTATTGACAAAGATTTCGCGGCGATTCCTCAGTTCTACGAGAGGAACAGAAGAATTATTGTTTGGATAGGATGGCGAAGTGCATAACCATCGAACTGACGTTAAGGCTGAAGACCATATATCAGGAAGTTTTTTTAAAGCAGAAATCATATATCACGGGTTTGTTGGAAATCCATACTGGCAGATCGGTTTTAAAGAAGTGCACAAAGTGAAAACGAGCTACAGCTAAAGAATATACTTTCTAGCTGTTCCTTTTATACAAAAGCTTGTAGTTTTCAAGAGACGAATAAGTGTTAGTAGTTACCCCTCGTATTTTTCTGAGAAAAAAATAGCGATATCTAAAACCAAAGGTGAACAAATTAACCCAATTAAGATATTTAATCAAATATGTGTACTCAATACCAAGTAGTTTATTTAACCAAAAACAGTTGGGTACTTACGGGTCAATAGATACTGAAGCAAAACTTGGCTTCAAATGAAACCTTCTACAAATACTATGATACTTGAACTTGGAAGTACAAATATGCGGTCAATATATATATATATATATATATATATATATATATATATTTATATATAGTCAATATATCAAGACGGTACCGCCCAGATTCGAATCCAAGCAGACACTTTATTATAAGTAATGGGATGTTCTAGTTAGCCTTAGGAACCTTTATCTTTGATGATGACAGCAGCCGAAATAACATCGCTTCACGATCTTTCCAGTTGAAAACATAAATTTACAACTTTCCGTGTTATCGGGAAAATGTGGTCCGTTTTGATTATATATTTGGGCTTGTTTGAGTATATTCACATGCATTTACTAAAGGCCTTGTTATAGCTGGGATTGGGGAGAGTCTGTTCTATCTGTCGGGTAGGGAAGCCAAACTCTGCCTTCTCGTCGATAGGGTGTAGTCTTCAAAATCAAGGAGGGTTAAATGCAGATGTCCGGAGTCCCCGGATCTTGAGGGAACCAATAGCATATGAACCTATTGTTGGTTACCAGTCATCGCGGGATCGCACCTCTGAAGATTTCTTCACGGACTTGTGAATTAGCTGTCTTTTGGGCTTGAGGAGTGGCCTCCAAAGGAAACAACCTGCTTCGACTGAGTTACCTAGGGACAACCCTAGCCCTCACACAAATTTAACGAGTACAAATCGGGAAAACTTTGCTTTCTTCAACCATCATTCTCAGGAATTTTACTCAAGGTTATCCAATAACATTCGTCCTCATTTTACATCGAGTCTCATCCTATTACCCATTATTCATATTGAGTGCATTCCACTATTTTCCAGCGCTTATGGAAGCTCGCCTGTTGTAGGGATTATAACCTATCTAAACTATCTCATGTCACTGGCCCGTTGGAAGCTATATGGTTCCGCTGAATACGAAGTCTAAACCAGGCTTTCTGGTAGCTGCCGGAGGCCCCTTCAGCCTAATCGACAATCCGTGAAGCTGATGGAATTCTAGTCAGTTAAACCTGCCAATATCTCAGACGATTAACGGGTTCGCCTATCTGGTGATATCAACTAGACCTCTGATCGGCGTCGGCTAATCCATCAAACGAGGCAGAAACCCACAAGGAAATCCGACTCTGGGAACGCCATCAATCTTCATGTTCAAATGACATCATCTGCTTCTTCTAAGTATAATGGAAAACCTCAAGTTAGGGAACCGACTGAGTTGTTCTCAAATTTTGTCTAGAAACGTCTAAAAAAACAGTGTCCCTACGTCCTGGAGTGGGTCTATATTCAACCGTATATTTAAAATGGGCTTATGTCTCCTGCCCAACAACCTTCGGGAGAATAGACATCTTCCGATTGCATTCAGATTATTAGCTTACGCCGCAGATTGTTCAAAACTTGGGAAAGATTGATCCTTAAGGAGCAAGTTGGTCCTCTTCGTTCTTGAAGATGTGTTAGTCATATTCCACCCTCTCCAGTCAAATTTTAGAAAAACGCCATACTTTTGCTGCAAACTGTCAATGTACATCTTTGCACCAGGGCTGCCTGCGATCTGCTGAATAGGAGAACAAGAGTATCCATGAGTCGTTTGTTAATATTTCGGAAACTCTTTATACCAATACCTCAGGCAGAATCAAGGTACACAAACACATGTTGATAGTTGATCAGGATCTGACACTGTCGTCGTATGAGAGATTAGTGCACGGGACAGACATCTGTTGGTGCTTCAAGACTATTTGGTTGAGGTCTTAAAAGTAATGAAACACAATGGCTTGAGAAGTTACTAGACATTCCTCTGAACGGAGGCCAGTGAATGTCGTGCCCGAAGTTTCTTTGACGTCTGATTGAAACTCCCTTAACAAATTGAATCCCTTTTTATTTAGACTGCCTCCTTCATTACTGTTTCTATAACTATTTTGTTTCGCTTCCATAGGCCGATTTCCATTCATTTTTCTTTTTTTTATCATACTTGCCTCTTTTTCTTTGTCTTTTCACGCCCTTATTTGTATTATGTGGAATTCCTTTTTACCAACATTTATGTGTTTAGATAAATAGATGAAATATCAACGACCCTGGGATGCAAGTCAACAATTTTGGAAGCACTGTCTATTCACGGAGCAATAAACAAAAAAAGAAAATTAAGTTACGGTGGAATAATGGTGTCAATATGACAAATCCTTTACATACTATTTCATTACTTGCAGTAAAGGAGAGAGGTTAGGACTATGCATTAAGATTTGAGCGATTGGTGAGAATCATGATTACAACATGGTATGGTTTCGTAAACGACTGACATCAGTTATGATGCTAAAATGTTGGGGTTGGGTAGTGGGTGTTAAACTGGAGTCACGTTTCAGTATTACAAATCAGGTATGAGATACTTAACTTGAGCTAATTTCAAATAAACTGCAAGCACGTTTTATCACCATTTTGTTTTTGAATTGAAATAACTTACGATTAAGATACAGAATCAGAGTGTAGAATGGGAGAATACTATTTAGCAATACAAGCGTACTTGATTATGTGCCGAATCGAATAAAGTAAAATGACAAACCATCCTCATCAGAAGAGAGCATTTCATTTGGTCTGAACCATGTTATTATTGTTTTCATCAATTTGTTGTATAGCATGGACTTCTGTGCTTGAAGTCAATAACAATTCTTACAAATTTCAGGCATTTAAAGCACGACGCATGGCAGATAATCTAATTAGCTACTCACAAAATACAAGCTTCCCAGTATTGTGGTGTTTTGCAGTCAGCCCAAAGATATTTCAAGTTCTTGGGACTTTGCAGGAAGAGAGAAAAGTGGAAAAGGACAACTGGTAATACAGCAAGTTCATAAAATCTCCTAGCTCTGAAAAGGAAAACTCTGAAACAGCAATCAGTTATAGCACACGAATAATATCAGGAGATTCTAAAGACGAGATCCACTAGAAGCTTGGATTTCACGCAAAAATATTCCATAATCTGTCTTACATCTGCTCAGTCAACCCAAGAATTCCACCGTAATTCTTGTATGATTATAGCAGACAGTGTTTAAAAGGATTTTTTTGATTGTATTTTTTAACGTAAAAGTGTCATAAAGTGAATTCAAGATAGAAATAATATTTATAAACTTATTCAAACTTAACTTAATTTACTGTGATACGCACTAAGCTCGAGATACGTCAGTCTAAATACACAATTCTGAAACGCATTGTAGATTGCCATTACAGGGGATATGTATGGATGATCCCGGACCTATTCGAGTTGGATGAGAATTGTGTGAGCTCCTAGTCTACGCCAAAGTCAAGCTGACGGGACTCACTATCCAAATAGGACCGACTGTAGCCCTCCAGAATATCAACGTAGCATGCTACAATTGAAGAGTAGTATAACTAACCTCCGTGAAGATTGACCGAATTATAATAATGTTATAGTCAACCCTTATATCTGTAAATGCCCATGTATTTCTGCACATCAGTAATTCTTACGCAATAATTACTTCTTTTGATTCTCCCAATTTGCGGCTTTAGGATTCCGCACTAATAATGGCGTTAGTTTGTTATAATCAAGTACAGAATGTAACACTGAGGATGATGTGTACCAATGACAATGACTGTTACTAAGCTTAGCTTGAAAATAAGGAAAAACGGTATGAACAGTTCTAACTTTGTATCCTAGAAATCCTGAACCAACAGGTGAACCTTAATCACGGAGGAATTACTGATGATTCATGTAACCCAGTTACGGATTCCATCAATAATTATGTTTATGAACTTTATTTCAAAGGTTTGGCTGGTATCGTATTCGGACCCTGGTTCAAGTAGTGTGAAGATTTGTTCAGGGTCGACTTCAATACATTTTATGGCTCCACGAAGATCAGAATGTATTGAACGAAAACACAAGTGGGCGCAACAAGGTGTATTTGAACACAACATTACAGAAAATCTGAGTAAAATCAAGGAATACGCAATTTGCAAAATGTAAATTAGTTGTCTCAAACTTGAACGTTCCTTCATTTCCAAGGAAATTATTCATTGGTCTCGTCCTCTTTTTATGCTCTTCTTAATATTATTCTGCCAGGTATTTCACTTTCGATTGATGACGCATACTACTTATATCTGACAACATCAGTAGCACACACTATAAGTATACTCCTGAGAAAACTTGGCTGGGTTAGACGAAGAGGACGGTAAATCCACCTTTTCGAAGAATTCAAATTACTTTTCTTTCCATGCAACAATCGACATCCCATCAGAAATCTTTGCTGACCAGTCATCTTTGTTTCATAACTGTTATTCGTACCTCAATTTAACGAAAGCTGGTGACGATGACTGCATGAACATGCGGGTTCAGTAATTCGCGAATTTGAATGGTTTACACCATCAGCAATGGCAGATCAGTTTGACTGTGCCGCACTTGTATGCAGTTTCTGATCTCCTGAAGAGGCTGATGCCAGAAGCAGAATTTGAGTAAAATTTAGGTATCTTAACATAACGCTACAACAAGTGACCATGAAATACCAGAGATTGGTAAACCTGTTATAAGATATTTTCATATCTTGCGATCATATGTCTATGCTGTGGGCTAGAAGCAAGATTATGGCTCACGAATACCATCCCTCACAGACAACTAGCACTCATCTCAGTGCTGGTTATGTGAAGGTCGTCATTACAAAAAGGTCTGTGTATATAAAGATCATCGT